CTGGGCCTGGCCCCAGCAGCCCTCGGAGAGGTTCCAGTTTTGTGAAACTTCTCAGAAGAAACACCTGCTAAGAAAGAAGAAAAAGAGGGACAGTGCCTTTAAAGTTATAGACAGACAGATGTCTCTTTAATTGATTCCTTTTTTTAAAATACTTTTACTGATTTCAGAGGATTTTAGAGCAGGAGAGAGAGAGAGAAACATCAGTGTTAAGAGAATCATTGATTGGCTGCCTCCTGCATGCCCCCTATTGGGGATGGAGCCTGCAATCCAGACATATGTCCTTGACTGGAATTGAACCCAGGACCCTTCAGTCACTGGCTGATGCTCTAGCCACTGAACCATACCAGCTAGGGTTTTTAAAAAAAATTTAGAGAGGAAGGGGGAGAGAAAGAAACATTGATGTGAGAGCAAAACATTGACCAGCTGCTTCCTGCACATCCCTTACTGGGGATTGAGCCCAAAACCTGGGCAAATTCCCTGACCAGGAATGGAGCCAGCAATCTTTTAGTGCATAGGACAGCGCCCAACCAACTGAACCACACCGGCCAGGGATAAAATCAGATATTTAGATAACCATAGAACAGAGGAGAAAAGGTTGAAAACTAAAAAAGATTGACAATCTGAAATAATTTATGATATTTCCAATTTTTAAGTTGAGTTTGTTGCTTTCTTTAGCTTTTCTCTATTAAAATTTGAAGTTTGTACTATAAACAACAATTAGCAGGAACTTATTGGGTATTGATTTTGCTGGGTTTTTTTTTAATGCTGATTAATTAACTTTTTTTTAAAATATATATTTCATTGATTTTTTGCAGAGAGGAAGGAAGAGGGATAGAGAGCCAGAAACATCGATGAGAGAGAAACATCGATCAGCTGCCTCCTGCACACCCCCCACTGGGGATGTGCCCACAACCAAGGTACATGCCTTTGACCGGAATCGAACCTGGGACCCTTGAGTTTGCAGGCTGATGCTCTATCCATTGAGCCAAAACGGTTCTGGCTGATTGATTAACTTTTGAGCAGGTAGTTCTGTTTACCATACAGAATATCTCAAATACAATAAGAAGCAAATATATGGAATTACTTTGTTTTAAGTAAGAATATGAGGAGCGAGTACATGCGCGCGCGTGTGTGTGTGGAGTCTAAGGATGTGCATCTTTGTTTTCTAAATGCATCTTCCTACATGTATCTTTGTTTTTTAAACTTAAATCTAAGCAGTTATATCTAGCTTAACTTTAAAAATAGCTTAATCTTTTTTACATGGCGAAAAGCAAAATAAAGCATTATAGTAATTTAATAGCAAGTTTGACCCAACAGATATGAAGGAAATAAGACATTTTAATGGAAAATAAAAGGTAATTGATAACTTGGTTGCAGTTTCTGTTTGGAGAGGTAATTCATTGGAGGCAGGAGGCCAAGAAGGATAACAAAACGCGCTTTTCTAAATGACTTCATTGTCTTGATTTAGTTTGGCTTCACTGAGTCTTACCATATTTCATTACAGGCATCCACCACATCAGAACGATGTCCTACGTTTTTGTAAATGATTCTTCTCAGACTAACGTGCCCTTGCTGCAAGCCTGCATCGACGGGGACTTTAACTATCCCAAGCGGCTTCTGGAAAGTGGCTTTGATCCCAATATCCGTGATAGCAGGGGCAGAACAGGCCTTCACCTTGCTGCAGCCCGCGGGAATGTAGACATCTGCCAGTTGTTGCATAAATTTGGTGCTGATCTTCTGGCCACAGATTATCAAGGGAACACAGCTCTTCATCTCTGTGGTCATGTGGATACTATTCAATTCTTAGTTTCCAATGGACTCAAAATTGATATTTGGTAAGTTCTCTGTGGTTTTTTAAGTCAAGTCATTTCTTCCCATGAATCTCCACCCAGTGGGCTAATCTTGGAGTCTGTGGATTTTGTTTCCTCACTGATCAACTGTAGGGATACATTCAGAAGGGCGTTGAGAACAATGGAGTCTTGTTAGGGGAATGAGGGAACAAGGGGTTGACTTTTAGATTTATGCTGAAGCAGTATACGTTCTTCTAGGAAAATAGTGGCTAGGTTCTGCTATTAATTGTCTATTGTAAGATGAGAAAAAGAACTAAAATTTGTTGAAAATCTTATGGGCTGGGCACTCTGTTTACTTATATTAGCTCAAAATGAATAGCTCTTGTAGTAGGTATTATCTTCATTTTACAGATAAAGTAGTCGTGACAAGAAAGGTTAAATGACTTGACAAAGGTCACATAGCTAGAATTTGAACCTAGTTCCACCTGATTCCAAAACTTGTTTGCCTTCTAACCTATAATATTCTATGGCAGCCTCATAATCTCTGTGAGGCTCAGAGTCCTTTTTATACTGAACCATTTGAAGAAGTGGTTCTCTTTATTTGTTTTAGAGATATTTTCTTTCGTGGGAAAGATGTCAGGCCACCTTTAAAGCTGAGCTTGGCCTTAAACCACAGTTACATGCTGCCCTAATTTATTGGTGGTTTAATGTCCCTAAATATGAATAAGACAGTAAGTGGTTCTGCTACTATAAAGACAGTATGTGGTGGGAATTGACTACAGGATTCAGTTATTCAGGCTCTTCCTGTTGTTAGTGTTAAATAGCTTGGTAAACCAAAGCAGTTTATTTTGGTTGCTTTTGGGATTTCTTTTTTAATTCTTAGACTTAAATATATATATATATATTGATTTCAGAGAGGATGAGAGAGGGAGAGAGAGATAAAAACATCAATGATGACAGAGAATCATTGATCCTGCATGCCCCACAGTGGGGATTGAGCCCTCAACCTGGGCATAGGTTGATGCTCAACCACTGAGCCACGCCTGCCAGGCTAGAGCTGGTCCTTTTTTTAACTCTGTCAGATATTAATGTCAAAGTCTTCATGGACTTTGTCACCATGAGTACAATGCCAGCGTTTTTCACTCTGCTCTGTTTCTTGATTTCAGAGAGGATGAGAGAGGGAGAGAGAGATAAAAACATCAATGATGACAGAGAATCATTGATCCTGCATGCCCCACAGTGGGGATTGAGCCCTCAACCTGGGCATAGGTTGATGCTCAACCACTGAGCCACGCCTGCCAGGCTAATTTTTAGACTTTAAAAAATATAATCATCCTTCCCATAAAATGTAAATGTCAAATGAAAATGAATCTAGAATTAGATTTTCCAATCAATTTCTGGGAGGATGCCCTCTTTTTCTTTTATTTATTCTCATTTATTCATTCTTTTGCCTATACTTTCCTTTCCCTTTTTCTCTAACTCAAAATTCAGGTTTCAGCTTGATCATTGGTTCTGCTCTGGGTTTTAATTTTGACTTAATTGGGCTTGTACTTTCTTCACTATCTACACAAGTAGGTATTAGCAGTGTAATACAATTACTGTGATGACCTCTTTATTTTTTTTACCTTTTTTTAGCAATCATCAAGGTGCTACACCCTTAGTTCTGGCAAAGCGCAGGGGCGTGAATAAAGATGTTATCCGATTGCTGGAATCTTTGGAAGAACAGGAGGTAAAAGGATTTAACAGAGGAACCCACTCAAAACTGGAGACCATGCAGACAGCTGAGAGTGAAAGGTACTTAAGACACAGTTTTTTAATGGACAAGTCATGTTAAGTCCCTGGATCTTTTATGATAACTCTGGAGTTTTCTGTTTATTTGCTTTCAAGTACAGAGCTTTGATACTTCCTTTGAATTCTCTGTGGGTCCCTGTGGCTCCCGATTACAGTTGAGAAGCTGTTAACGGGAAGCGCTATGTGCCCCATGCTCACAATGTTCCATGCAAGGGAACCTGCTGCAGCAGCAGTGCCAGGGAGCAGAGGTGGTTAGAACTGAAGGTGAGGGAAGCCACTGGAGTTTCAGGGTTTTAGTACAGTCACAAAAGGAATGGAATGTCAGAAAGGGAGAGAAGGGTAAATCACAAAAGGGAGAGAAGGATAAGTAAGGCTAAGAACTGGGACAATTAGAAAAGACCAAAAGGTAGTTCAAGGGTAGGGAAGTGGAGCGTTGAGGAAAAGTAAAACAAGAGGAGAGAAAGGAGACAAAATTTAACATGTACACAATTCAGTAATGTGAATGTGAAAGTGAAAGTGACTTTTCCATGAGTTGGAACAAATAAAATGTGGGCTCCTGTGAGTAATGGAAGCTAAGAAGCTAAGACAGTGACTGACTGGGTCGTAAGTCTCTCTTAATTTCTCATCTATAAGCAGTTCAGAACACAGTTCAGGGGGTGCCGAAAAGGTGACAAACCATTTTTTCTCCTGGCCTCACTGGCTCAACAGATAGTCAGTGAGCCAGACGTGTGCTAGCTGCACAGCCGTGGGCAAACTACGGCCCGTGGGCCGCGATAGTCAGTGAGCCAGACGTTGTGCTAGCTGCACAGCCGTGGGCAATTTTCGGCCCGTGGGCCGGATCCGGCCCGTTTGAAATGAATAAAACTATTGAAAAAAAAGACCATACCCTTTTATGTAATGATGTTTACTTTGAATTTATATTAGTTCACACAAACACTCCATCCATGCTTTTGTTACGGCCCTCCGGTCCAGTTTAAGAACCCATTGTGGCCCTCGAGTCAAAAAGTTTGCCCACCCCTGTGCTAGCTTGTAGTTTCATTGACCACCGTGGACTGTAAGCCTTCTAGATTTTACCAGGTAAGAAGGACCATGGGCTTATAACAGTCTCCCCCACAATGCTCAGTGGAATATATTTCAAGGGCTCTCATCATGTGTTGACCCAGTAGCTGAGTGGTCAGATGTGGATTCAGGATTATATATACCACCCTGGACCATCAGGACCATTGTTTCTTTGAGTTCTACATGAAATCCTCTCTATCTTTCATAGTTCACCCTGCAATTCCTTTGTCCACATGATTGCTCTCCTCACTCTTCGGGTGAGGCTGGTATTATATTCATTTGGACCATTAATTCCACTCTGAAGCTTAGGACTATGTTGTTCACATACTTTCAAATATTTATTACTGTCAAAAAGATGAAAGAGTTTTACTTCTAGAATAGTGCATGTTTCTCATGAGTTATCATTGAAAGCTGACAAGTAGATAAATTAAGCAGGAAGTCAGAGGCATTTACAAGGCCTTTTCCTCTCACCTGTGTACTTTGGATCTGTCAGAATGCCGTAAGCAATTTAATAACATTGTTATCTATTATTTGTGACAGATTATGTTCTTCCAACATAACTTGGAAGTTATTTTCATCTTTCTATAAAATAGTAGTAACTTACTTCAAGCTTTCCTCCCACGAGAAATTTCCAAGAAAGTGCTTTTGTTTTTGCTAGGTATATTTTTGAGATCTTGCTTGGTGTATTTCGGTAATAGCTAGTTTCTTGGCATCTCTTTATCAGAAATTGATTTTTAACTCATTTTGCCTCAGTTGTGATTACTTAAGAAGTAATTAGTCTTTTGAGCAGCTCAGTATTCCTGCTTCTTTCACATATCCATTTCACTTCAGTACGAGAATTTATATTATTTACATCATGTGGAAAGCCAGTTCTTCAGTAATTGAATTTTAATATTTGTTCTACCTGGTTGTCCTATCTTGGTTGTCCTGTCTTCTGCCCCTCAGCATCACGATAAAAATGCAGTGGTTTAAGCTTCAATTAAAAGCTTAAAGGCAATATCATTAGTCATTAGGGAAATGCAAATCAAACCACAGTGAAATACCACTTCATTCCCAGCAGGATGGCTCTACTCTAAAAGATGGGCAATAACAAGTGTAGGTGAGGGTGTGGAGAAATTGGAACCCTCAGACATTGCTGGTAGGAAGGTAAAACAGTCCGGCAGTTCATTAAAAAGTTACAGTGTTACCACATGAACCAGCAATTTCACTTCGAGGTGTACACTGAGGAAAATTGAAGACATGTTCACACAAAAACTTGTACACTAATGTTCATAGCAGCATTATTCAAATAGCTAAAAGGTGGAAATCACCCAAAAGTTCCATCAACTGATAAATAGATAAAGTGTCTTCTTATCCATTCAGTGGAATATTATTCCACCATAAAAAGTAATGAAATACTGATACAAACTACAACATGGGAAAACTTTGAAAACATGCTACATGAAAAAAAGTCAGTTACAAAAGGCCATGTATTTTATGATTCCATTTATAGGAAGTGTCCAGAATTGATGAATAGAAAGTAGATTAGTGGTTGCCAGGAGCTGCAGGAAGGAACAGTGGGTAGTAATGACTGCGAATGGATATGGAGTTTCTTGCAGAAATGATAAAAATGTTTTGGAATTAGATGGAGATTGTTGTACAACTTTGTGAATATACTAAAAACCACTGAATTGTGCACATTAAAAAGATAAATTTTGTGGTATCAGAATTGTATATTAATTAAAAAGTGAGAAAAATCTTAAAGAATTGGCTTGCACATGGCATTATAAGATAGCTGTGTAACAATTTCCTTTTCTAGAGCAGAAAATAAACCAAGAGTTTGAATGCATTTACGATAGTATTTTCCATTTCCCTTAGGCTTTGAGACATAGCGTAATTTCTTTCTTTAAAAAAAAAATTTGTATTGAATTTAGAGAGGAAGGGAGAGGGAGAAGGAGATAGAAACAGCAGTGATGAGAGAGAATCATTAATTAGCTACCTCCTGAATGGGGCCCACAACCCGGGCATGTGCCCTGACTAGGAATCGAACGGGGACCTCCTGGTTCATAGGTCAGTGCTCAGCCACTGAGCCACACTGGCCAGGAAGCATAATTTCTTAAGGGCCTATATAAATCGAGTTGGTGAGAAATATTTCCCTATTCCCCCTATATCCTAAGTTTAATTTAGTTCCTTTTTTTGTAGGTACGGGATGACTAAGACAGTGTAGATGACAAATGTACCCAAAAATTCACATGCACACACACCGTCATGCTAGAAGTGGGCATTCCAAAGACAGTAGAAACATTTCGTTGAATAGAGTCACTATAGAAAATTCTGATGGGCAGAGCGTGATGAGCTCCTGGAGAAGGTTCAGTGAATTCCCATTTTACATCTAACATCTTTGAGTATGAGAGCATGTCAGCTCAGGTATAGTCAATAAATTTTATGTCAGAATTAACTTCTGACCTTCTTTATCTGTTTATGGTTTTACATGTTTAGACCTTAACGTTCTAATTTATTTTTAACTTGCTTCGGTTTTCCTAAATTTTTGTATTGTAAATTCCCACTGAAAATGTCTTCTTGTATTCAGAGAATAAACATCTTTTAATATGAGAAATTGTGGATGTGAAGCACGCTGGCTCAGTAGGAAGTCAGCTTCCCGTGATGAGAGAAGGCCTCTCATAGGAAAGGCTGAAGGACTCTGGTTGACAGTGTTAAGAAGTAAAATGAAGCTGTAGATTTAAAGAAAACTGCTAATTTTACATAGTGAACCAGACTCTAAGACACCGTTTTATGCTGTTTGCATTGTTTTGTACTCAGGTGGTTGGAAGAATATGAAAGGGTTTAGGGAGGGTAGTAATGATTTTTTCTAAGCAATAGATAGTTGAAACATATGATTATGGTCATTGTGGCTTTAATCTAAATGATAGCCTGCTGCTGGGCCTTCGTGTTGTGATGTAATTGCGGGTGCTAATCCCTTCGAGCTTTGAACTCATCATAGTGCGGGCTTTCAGATACGGAAGTCAGATATACTGTTTTCTGTTTATAGCAGTCATATTTCTCCTTGATAGAGTTCTGAAAGCCAGAGTCAATGCTTTTATGGTGTTTGTTTTACCTTATTTCAGCTAGGTTCAGCCATTATGCAGAAGAGAAATAATCTTATTCTGTACTAGAGGCCCGGTGAATGAAATTCGACCGATGGCCGTCAGTCGGACATCCTTAGCGCTGCCACGGAGGTAGGAGAGGGTCCTGCCACCGCCGCTGCACTCTCCCAGCCGTGAGTCCGGCTCAGGGCTTCTGGCTGAGTGGCGTTCCCCCTGTGAGAGCGCACTGACCACCAGGGGGCAGATCCTGCATTGAGTGTTTGCCCCCTGGTGGTCAGTGTGTGTTATAGCGACTGGTCATTCTGCCGTTTGGTTGATTTGCATATTGGCCTTTTATTATATAGGATTGTACAAACTAAAACTAAAACCAGTGGGAGGAAACTATTGAAAAGAATTCCTAATGAATAGACTTGTTCAAATGTACAGCAGATTGAGAAGTAAGCTTCCATTATTAGAGAATTACAGATAAAAGAAGAAATTCCTTCATTGATCAGATTATTAGACTAAATAATAATCCTCTTTTAACTTTAAGTTTCACATACTGTATTAAGTGATTTTTTAGATTTGTCCATCTTTGCTTATTTTCATTAACACAAATTCTCAAATTATGAATCTTTGTTTTGAATTCTTCTAAATTTAAAATAAATTTGGTTTAGTATATGATGGAAACAACTCATTTGATCTACTTCAAGACTCCTGCTTGGGACTTTTTATTAGAAAAAGACTTTTAACTTTGACTCTGCTAGATACAAATCCAGGAAGCATAATTATTGTAGTTTAGCAACTTACAGTTCAAGGTAGTTTGTCCAGATACATAAATCAGAACATGAGTGTGTGAGATATAAATGTACATATGTCAGTTTTCTTCTTGTAGAATTGTGTTGTAAAGTTGCTCTTTTCTAAATAATGGTTTCTGTTGTTTTATGTTTTTGAAATGGGTGAAATGTGTTGTTTCATGCCTATTTCTTTTCTCTTTGCGTCTTTCACAGCGCCATGGAAAGCCATTCCCTCCTCAACCCCAACCTACAGCAAGGTGAAGGCGTCCTGTCCAGCTTCCGCACCACATGGCAGGAGTTTGTAGAGGATCTGGGTTTCTGGAGGGTTTTGCTCTTGATCTTTGTCATTGCTCTGCTGTCTCTTGGTATTGCCTACTATGTGAGTGGGGTGCTGCCCTTCGTGGAAAACCAGCCAGAACTGGTGCATTAAAGGAGCTCATGGAAGATGGGGCACACGCCTGTTTCCCGGCGTCAGTGTTTCTCAGTTTCTCAAAGTTGTTCTCTTAGTGCAAGGCAGTGAGAGGTGTGTACCTTTTTTCCTTTTTGGATATTGTAATCCTTTTAGAATGACATGTTCATTTGAACTATCTACATACTGTAGTCAGTATACTGCATCCTAAAGCTACCTGTGACTCAACCTGACTTCTTAGGAACACACAGCCTTGTGTGATAAAAACATGGAAATGACTAAAGAAAGAAAGATAAGGGAAGTCCTTGCTATGGAAACCTAACTCTAATATAGGACCAACTGAAGTGACGTGTTCAAAAAGAAAAAAGGTTTCCTTGTATGGTTAGTTTTGGTTGGTGGTTTTATTTTGTTTTTTGTTTATTATAGTCGTGGAATAGAGGAGAGAATGAAATATTCAGCTTAAAACTTGAAGTGCTTTTTTCAAATCCCACATAGTAAATCAGTATTGTTGAACCTGTTTGGTTTATTTTAGTACTTTCAAAGTTTAGTCACAAACCAAATAGAACTTTTGAAAGTGAGCTATATTTTCTTCAAAAATTATTGATTTGATCTTATATTTATTTGTTCTTAGGATAATTTTGTGTTTTTGTATGTTTGTTTGTTTTTGTAAACTGCTTTGCTTGTTGTAATGTGTGACAAGTGAACTTGTTTACTTTTCAATTTCCCCTAGACTTTATTTCAAGGACAGTCTGTTCATCAAAAATATAGTCAGAAAACTTTTTCTGTTCAGTAGTTAGCAGGGGAAAGTAACTGATATTTAATGGTTACTGTAATTTTGTAGTGCTATTAGGATAGTGGAAAATTCAGTTCCATAAGCTTGCCATGTTGTCACAATTGTATTGTAGTTCATATTTATTTCATTTTATGTGCAGCCCTTGTAGAGGCCCTGTAGGATTGTCATAACAATTTTCAGCCATGTCAGTAATTCTCTGGAGGCAAGAACGGATGGAGTATGTCTGAGTTAACAGCTCAACGCGATTGTACTGGGTGTCATAAATGTTTTATGAATGGTAATATTATGTGAATTGAAATTTGGCTCCTAAACGATATTGAAGCATTCTGCAGTATGATTGAAGGCCTCTTTTGTTAATGATTCTGTTATGTATAAAAAATGTTCTTGGGCTATTAAAAAAGAATATGAAGACTTGATAATTGTTCATTGGGTATAGTCAGAAAACTATAATGAAAGAACTAATGGTTCTACTTTTTAGAACAAAGACTTCTAAGCTACTGCTAATTGAATTGTTGCTAGAATTCAAACTTTTAGTTTAGAATAGAATTAGTATTTCTGTGATTCTTGTTGCTTCTTGTTATTAGCTTTTTTGTATTTACATATCTAAGACTGAGGAGGCTTTATCCTCCCTTTCTTGTGTCTCTTTCCTCTCTTAAAGAGCTGTTTTAAAATTCCTGATTTATCTGGCTGCTTCAGAGTCTTGCTTTTAGGTTAGATAACAAAATAAACCTTACTTGATGTAAATACAAGAAAAACGATTTTAGAACAGAGAACACTAGAACACTAGACATCAAAGTATATTCATAATGAAAGCTGTGGAACTAGCTTTACATTTGTTTGTAAATCTAAACAGATATGCAAATTGGCTAAATATATATGTACATATGTTGCACTTTTATGTTTCCTTTTAAGTACTGATTTCTTTGTATTTTATTCTCTGCATTCAGAATTTAGTGACACTACCAATAAATGTAAATATAGTCTCTTAATCACAATCCAATTTTTAGTGTATCATAGTTTTTCTTTTAATTTAAGGTGTGCTTTTTTGTTTGTTTTGTTTTAAGGTTTGTTTTTTAAAAAATGGGTTGTAATTTGTTTAGAAAACAAAGAGGTTTTTTTCAGATGTGGTTTAATAGTTATATCAAGTCTATATGTTTGCCTTATAATTGCTCTGAAACTAATTTGGGTGAATTGCTTGTGGATTTAAAGTGATAATAACTTTGGTGCTTAACTACCTCCCAGTTATACAAGTCACATTACATGCTCATTTCATTTCATCCTTATGTTCCCCCAGCCCCACTGCATCTCCCCTTTTTATAAGATGAGGGGACTGACACAGGGAGGGATAAGTAGCTTGTCCAAGGTCAAAGCTAGGGCCTATAGAGAAACAGGTTTTCCAGATTGAGGCTCTATCCCCAACGGTAAGTTTTCTTTTTCTGTCACGAATCTGGCGATGGAGCCACCCAGAACCTCGCCTGCTGCCGTCTCAGCAGCATGTTACTAAAATTTCCACTCCTGTTCCTAAATACTTACCTTTTCCTCTTTCTATAATGTACCATTTCCCCACATCCTCCTAATATTACTAATCTTTAAAATTCAAGCCCGAACCCCTGGCATGATCAGAAAAGCTCCCGTAGTTAACCCTATCTGACTGCCCACTCCTGTCCCATTTCCTTATTGTTTACCATAATGATAAGCAGGTATCCTGTTTTTCATTTGTCTCTTTAATTGTAAATTCACGAGAGCAGGATCTTGGTCAAGTTTTACTACCTTATCTGCCTACAGTGCCTCCGAATCTTTGTACACAAGTACTAATAGCATTACGTTGTCACCTGTAGCTACATATTTTCTTTTCAGATTAAACAGCTTTTATCGTTCCCATGTTTCCTTCGACATGCTGCAGGGGGGAGCTGTGCTAGTCTCCTCCCACAGTATGCCTGCCGCGTGCCCGGTGAAGCCCCTTTACCTGAGAGCATGAGGCTGTGGGCCCGAATACTGCTTTCTCCACCACTTCGCATGGACGTCCCGGAGCAGTGCCCCCTGGTGGTGGTGTTTTAACCAGGCCTCGGTCTTTGCCTTGTGAAACTCTGTATGTATCAAAGTGCCTTCAGCTGCAAGAAACCCAAACCCAAATTCAAAGTGGCTCACACTATAGATAGTGTACTGCTTTGTATAACTGGAAGTCCAGAGGTTGTCACCCCAAGGTGACATAAAGCAAGTTTATTTATTTATTTATTTATTTTTGGCCGAATTTTATGGTTTTATTAACACAAATACAATGTGCACACAACCTGTCTATTCCTTTTCTTCGCTGCGCAGCCTGGCATTGGGATCGGTGGCTCTGAGGGCCAGCGGGCTGCTCTTCCCACCGTGGCTCTGTGGTTCTTTGAGGAGACGCTGTGAGCCGTCTCAGCACAGTGAGACTTATTGCACTTCAGCAACACTTCAAGCTCCTTGACGTTAGGGACCAGAAGCTTCCGAAAGCCACTGGGCAGTATGTGCTTTGTTTTCTGGTTGCTCCCATAGCCAATGCTGGGCATCAAGGTCTGGCCCTTGAATCTTCTACGCACCCTATTGTCAGTGCCTCTGGGTTTCTGCCAGTTCCGCTTAATTTTGACATATCGGTCTGACTGATGCGGATGAACTTCTTGGTCCTCCTTTCAACAATCTTGGGTTTCACGAGGGGTCTGAGGGCAGCCAGGGTGCCGAGTAGGAGATGGCTGCCACCTCCGTAGGCAGCTCCGAGGAAGAGGACATAATGCACATTTAGCTCAGCTCCCCTGTGCTTTTGGCTCTTCCCTCCTGTTTGGCTTCATCCTTCAGCTGGTTTTGAGATGAGTCCAGGATTTTCAGGCCTCACCGCCATTTGTAACCATGGAGAGAAGAAGAAAGAGACCATCTTTTCTGTGGTTCTCTCCCAGGAAACTTTCCTTCGAAGCCCCCACATTTCTAGCGTTCAGGAGCCGCAAGAGGCTGTTGTATGGGACAGGACAGCCCAGATACATGACGTTTTCATTTCTGCAGAAGGTGCTTTTGGACAGCAGCGTTCTAAAATCTACCTTGGGCTTTGGGCTCAAGTCAGGTCAGGTCAGTATGGAGCTAGATACTGAACTGTATGACAGCAGTGCCTGCCCCAATTACTTCTACTGAGTTCTTTATTGATAGGCAGTAAACATGTGCTGGCAGGTGTCGCTCAGTGGTTATATCATTGACCTGCACACCAGAGGGTTGTGGGTTCAATTCCTGGTCAAGGGCATGTTCCTGGGTTGTGGGTTCAATCCCTGACCCAAGTCTGGGTGCGTGCAGGAGGCAACCAATCAATGTGTCTCTCTCACATGGATGTTTCTCTCCTTCCCTCCCTCCCTTCCCACTCCCTTCCATTCTCTCTAGAAATCAATGGAAAAATATCCTCACTCCTCGTGTGAGGATAAAAATAAAATAAGTGGCAACACTGTACAATACTTATCAACTCATTCAATCTTTGCAAATTGCTATTGTTATCCACGCCTCGCAGGGAAACGAAGGTACCGGAGGTGGTTGGAATGACATGCCCAAGGTCACCTAGCTGTAAATGGCAGAGCTGGGATTTGAACTCAGGCAGCACAAGAACGGAAGGCTCTTCCTCTCCCCATCACACTATGATGCCTGCCTCTGCTTAGTTGTGATGCAGTTGGCTTGCAGTAAAGACTAGCACTCTGTACCTAACCACGGCATCTATTGGAAGGGAAGTTCCTGGGGCTGCTGCTGACACAGTTATCCTTTATGAAGACCCCTGAGGAGGAACTTCTGCTCCTGGCAACCACAAACTGCATTTCTGCTGAGCTTGGCTTTCATCTTATGTGCTGTCTGGATTATGTCAGTGACCGGGCAGGGTTCCTCTTTCACATGCGGTGGTGAAAGCTTCATGCCCAATCTGGGTTCCACCAGAAGCAGCTGTAGCATAGGTCATCATGGTGATTACGAGAAGCTCACTCCTCGTTTATTTTATATCGTCATCTTTCGTTTTGTTTTCTTATTCTCAATGTTCACTTTCATTTATGCTGTTCTGTATTTCTTCAGCCCCGTTAGATTAGACAGTTATTAGTACGAATTGCTGGGATGACCACAACGATATCTATCAAGTTCTGGACGCTGGCAGCAGGAGATACATTGACCTTTTGCAATTGGAAATAGTACCTTATTGCCTTCCATTCAAAATGCAGTTATGGTTTCTGGCATACCTGCCATTGTCAGTTTACCTTATTTATGTCTCTCTTTGTTCCAGACAGGATTAGGTCCAACTGAATCAGCAGGTATTACTCTAAACTCTGGAAATCAAATGTCTTGGGTTTTTCTGACATTCTGATGAGTCACTTGAGTGAAGCCTGATCTATGAACATAAACAAGTTCCTATAATAACAGAATTGTGGAGATGGAGGGGCATTAGAACTTACCGAGGGAGGGGGAAAGGCGGCCTCACAATTAAGAAAAGGGCAGAACAGCTATGTGAACCCAGACACGGCCTGTCACCTCACCTCTGCTGCACTGCCCACTACTCAGGTCTCCCCGCCCACCCAGGGGTTATGCTAAATGTCATCTTAAAGTACAAGTGGTTTGTGTTAGAGACATAAAAATATACTTTCTTTCCATTGTGTTCTGTGTGCTGTAATGGTTAACCAAAGCACTGACCTGTTCCTTAAGCTGATACTGTCATAAACTACGGATGCCTCTTTCTAAGTCTAATCTCCATTTGTTTGTGAACAATAAGATCACTACAAACCTATCATCTTCCCTTGATAAACATTAAAAAACATTTTTTTTGTTGTTAACCCTCACCCGAGGATATTTCCCCCCCCATTGATTTTTAGAAAGAGGGTAAGGGACGGGGAGAGACAGAGAAACATGGATGTGAGAGAGACATATCGATTGGTTTCTCCTGCACGTGCCCTACTGGGGCCAGGGATCGAGCCTGCAACCAGGTAAGTGCACTTGAGCAGAATCAAACCTGTGACCCTTCAGTCCAAGAGCTGACAGTAACCAGTGACCCAAACCGGCCAATGATTTTTAGAAAGAGGGGAAGGGACGGGGAGAGACAGAGAAACATGGATGTGAGAGAGACATATCGATTGGTTTCTCCTGCACGTGCCCTACTGGGGCCAGGGATCGAGCCTGCAACCAGGTAAGTGCACTTGAGCAGAATCAAACCTGTGACCCTTCAGTCCAAGAGCTGACAGTAACCAGTGACCCAAACCGGCGAGGGTGATAAACATTTTAAGTGAAAAATCTTTTCACTTATTGGGGAAAAAAAATCCACATTGAATAACACACTTCCCCTAGAAAGCACCCGACACTGGGAATGCTGAGAGGGAGCTAAGCAGAAGGGGTGCGAGTTCCCCCAGCAGGTGTGGTGTGACCACCTCTCCAACGCTCAGTCGCTACCTTTCATATTAGAACGAGGATTTCTTCAATCCCAGTGTCTGCTGCAGACCTCTAATTCACGTTAGGACCCTGGGGGATGTCTACAGGGCCCTTGGTGAACATAAGCCCTGGGTTAGGAAATGCCTGGTGCTCGGGTGTGTCAGAGGTGTCTGTGGAGTTCATTGAGTTTTTCAGTATTCCCTGGGGGTCCTTTTTCACATCTTGGGAAGCGTTTGTGAAAGGAAATGAGAAATGTGTGAGTATAGGAGAATGACCCACACTCAGGGCGACGCTGTATCCGCTTAGGAATCTCTCACTGAGGAGCATTCAATAGGGTGTTCTCCCCTAGAACCCCCTCAATTTTGATTTGTTTATTATTTTTTCATGTCCAAATTAGTCTAAGGATCAATTTAATAATAAACTTTGACCCAGAGTACTTTCAACTGGAAATACGCAACTGTAAGTCTCCTGAGATTCATTTTTAATTGGGTAATTTTATTTGCTGGAACCATTTCAAATAAATGTGTGTATATATTATCTTATGATTATATTTCAGAAAATTCAAATTATCTTATTTTACAGTGTCCATTTATGTTCTTTTAA